TTGAACGTGTAAGCAATCACAGAAGGCTTCAATACCAGAAAAGTACAAAGTGCAAGCGATAGATAAGTCCGCATCCTATTTTTCAGAATGGAATTCGACTAAAATTAATAGTCACTTCGCACTCCGATGAATGCTTGCTATGTTGCTATGTTTAAATCCCTATTTTCATCATTATCCATACTATTCATGATGCACGAAACCCAACTACGTAAAACGTGATTTAAAACAATTCCCAAACCTTTAAACCACTTTAATCCAAACCGAAATCTGAAAGATCTGAAAATGTCCTTTTATGTATTTGTAATTAAGTGAATGTCAAATAAACCAATTTCGAAATGAGTGTTGGAAAAAATTTAAAAGTGTTCAGTTTGTGTCTGATTTGCAGTATTTTAACTAACAGTGATTGCAATAATGACTGCTGTATCATTTAGTGGAAATGTTTGTCCGAAATTGTCAAGGGTGATTGCCTAATAAAAGTAACACACAAGTCAACACCTCGTATATGGTTTAATTATGGCCGGAAGGAAGTGATGATGGTATGAATAAAAGGCAAACATTGACTTGGGTAGTTTCGTAACAGTTATTCAGTCCTATGAAGCATGACCACGCATCCCTAAAAATAGGTGATTCCTTTCATTGTGATACACGCTTGATGCCACCAAGGGCAATTATGTAGTGAGAAGTGGCCAAGCCCCTATATGTCAATACGGTAGTGGGCACGATGGCATTTTAGAGGTATCATTATTTTTTTTGCATCATGGCACAATCCTGTGTTCAAATTGGCTTTCTGCAGCGTATTTCACTTGCTACTTGAGGGCAGAATTGCACTTCTTTGAAAGAAACTAGGTGCAACTTAAATATTTTTAGTTGTCTTATAGGTAAGTAGGCCGTCTGTCAAGCGCTCTGATTGCAGCCTCACAGGGCTAAAACACTTTAAAAATTTACCTTAAATCTTTGTGACTTCCAAAAATGAATTCTGATCTGGCTGCATGAAGTCGCACGCAATTCCACCAAATGGGAACTGGCATTTGCCTTCAATACAATTTTGAAGTGCAACAACCTAGTTATGCAGTTGCATACTAAGATAAATTGAAATCTAGCAGGTAACTTAAATTAATTAGAATCTTAAAAATCTCTTGATTCGGGTTTAAACGCCTTAGCAAATGTTTGTAAATCATTTTGGTGTATATTCCTGAATATTTATACCTAAAGACCACAGTAAAAGATTTTGATAAGTGGAAATTTGTTGAAGTTTGGAAACATTGAAAGCAAGCGGAAAGTACCTTTAATTTATAAGCCGAAATCAAATTTGAATGCAAAAAATGACCCGTTGTGACGTTCTTCAGGGAAATAGTTTGAAAAATAAGTCAGTGGATATGGTCTTATCACATGGATCGGCTGCCTTGTTCTAGCTCACGGTACTAAATGTTAGAGGAAATCACTTTTGTGCATAAAATTTACAAGATCACAAGCGCTCCTCTGATGTACTTAAATGTGAAATGAATTTATATTATAAAGAGAATATGTACTAATGCGGGATTGACACATAATTGTGTTTTCAATTTGTCAACAGGATGTATAAGGAAGAATGCACTCTTTGCAGCACAAAATTACATAGACTGCAAAAGCAAAAAGATTTCAACAGCAGCATCTATGCATATATTATTGGTTATAGAACGTATTTTTAGAATGATTTGACTTAATTCAGTATGTCTGAGAGGCAAGCACTCACATTCATAATGTGAAAACTGAACTAACTTTTAACAAGAAGAGTTCGATGATTCTTCTAGGCATAATGAATCCTTCAATGTATCCTTTAGTTTGCCCCCAGTTTATGGGCCCACCTTATTTGGTAGGCCGCAATGTCACAAGAACTCTCACAAACGCAGCCAAAGTTTCTAAGCGAAATTGGGGAAAATTAATGATAGAGTTGAGTCGCGGTGGAGAAAAATGAGTTGACTGATGCCAAAAATTTTAATATAGGAAAAATCACATTGTGGATTTAATATCCTAAAACTACCTTTATTCACACGCTTGATTTATAGGGATGATTACAAACATGTTGGTAAGATTGTTCTTCTCACTATGATTTCTTCCAGAAGGCTATTGACCCTCTTTTACTATCATCCCCGAAAATATGAAGGCCATTGCTATGAAATGGTGCCTAGGGCGTGAGCTTGGATTCTGTCAAGATTCCAACCGCAGCAATCAACAGGCAAATTTTCGATACAGAAGTCCTTATTTGCCGATGGGCACAAGCTAATTGACCAAGCGGAACTGCTGGAGACATCCGACGGTTTCAGTCTCGCATATTTATATTACTGATTGACCTTGGTCTTATAATAAGCGTTAACGTACTTAAGGTGGATCTATACTTAACATCAGCAGATCAGGAGGGAAGGAATGGAGAGTGCGACTTTCTGGAATATTTGGCAAATAGCTATGTAAATGAAAAGTCATAAAAAGTCAAAGTAGTACTTTTCTGGGGTTGCAGGCATCCTCATCAGTCCAGTATACCCTACTTTTCCCAGTCTTTTTATTGTTGTAAAGAGGCGCAAGGAGAATGCGCATTGCAAAAAAGCACCTTTAAATCTATCGCGCGGATCGTTATTCCAACTGCCACGCAAACTACCATTTATGGAAAAAAAGTTGTATGCAGCTTCCTTCCCACCTTTCCTAGTCTAATAAGAAGGTGTGATCGTGGCCATTTTTATTGCCTACAGGACGATTTGTGTAAGTGAACTAATACTTTCTACCTTCTCGAATACGGTGGAATATTCGGCCTTTTACGCTCTGGCCTTCGAAACAATAAGTACCGTATAAACCGGAGTTCTTGTTACGCATGATATAGTTATGGAGTGCAGTGTTGTATCTTTCATTCCAACATGAAAAATCGTCATTCATATTTACTGGAGGGGAGGAGACTGAATACATTTTTTCATGGCTGGAGGATTATCATTTAGAGTTAAAAACTGCGGCGGACATAAAGTGTAAAAAGAAACCCTAACCATCCTCAAATGTTTATTCCCGATTGATTGACCTGTTTATCTATGGTGTCAACTTCTACATGTGCGCGTGCGCTGACACATTTGAAAAGCTAGTGCGCTAGGACATACGTAGTGAATTTTAAATGCCTCATCTTAATTCACCGAATTCTGCCATCTCCATAGAAAGTACTAGCCGCATCTCCAGTTCAAATAAGGATCCCCATACTGTTGACGGCATTTTAAAGGATGTTGTTAAACCATTTGGCATCTGGCAATTCATCGTCTTGATGCTCAGCGTCTGGAGCTATGTTCCAGCCGCAATATTTCCCATCTTCGGCAACTCTGTACCTTCAAAATTTCACTGTCAAATGGAACCAAACATTCATAAAATGCTCCTCTTTGATCAGACAAATGCAACTTTGACTGGTCTCAGTCTCCACAGACCAAAGGGACCTCTAGAAATATCTGACAACAAGTACGGAGTTCCGTTCGACACCGTTGCTGCGGCCATTGGACCCTGGGGAAATCAGACGGCTACTCCTGGATGTCACCGTTACAAACGCAACTACACAAGGATTGGACGATTACAGGAGCTATTTTGGGTGACAGAGTCAACCTCGGTGGAGGCCTGTCCACAGGGCTATGTATATGAAATGGATAAGTATCAATATCCCTCAAGTATAGTGATTGAATGGGATCTTGTTTGTGATAAGGAATGGCTAGCACCCCTCAGCACCTCGATGTATATGCTTGGTATGGTGCCTGGATTCTGGATCGGTGGGATTACTGCCGACTCCATAGGTCGTAGGGCAACGACGTTCGCTTTTTGGGTGCTCCAAGTCGTTGTTGGGATCTCGTGCTCC